ACCACTCCATCTAAATCATCCTTTGTTTTCCCCAAGGTCCTTACTAGAGATTGTGTTTGCTTATGTAATTTCTTGGTTAGTCAGTCTTCACGACAACCTAGGTTCCACGACAGCAGATATATTTGTCTTGTTCCACACTGTACACCCTGAACCTAGCACTGTAGCTGGCACACAGCCAGTTCTCAAAGGATTCTTCTAGGAATGGAAAGGGAGAGATGGAGGACCCTCCTTGGTGGGGTAGGAATGTCAAAGGGATTAGTTTTCCATTCCTTGAGGGGCACATATATTATCTTGAGTTCTACCCCTATTTCTGTTCTTCATGGGAAGTCAGACTAATTGCCTAGGGATTCAGAAGACATCTCAGTAGTTCCCTATATCCAGTTTCTAAGTGTTAACAGATTCAATTACCCTTCTTTGAAAAGATGCTTGTGATGGTTAATACTTAAAAACAACTAGTATTGGAGTTGCCAGTAGTTTGAATGCAATTTTACTTTGTGGGTTTAGAATTATGTCGCTATATATTATTTTGGCTTTGATTCACTTAGAGCTAAGAATGTGACCCATTAACAGAGATCTGAATGAGGTTTAGAGTTCTTATAAAACTCAATTTTCAGAAAACCCATCCAACTTTATTACCCTGTATTTTGTGTTCTACAGCTCTCTTAATTTCATATTGCAAACTTCTTAAACATATTTTACAAGTCAAAGTACTCTCATCATTTTCCAAGATTTAATAAAGTTTCCATTTGTGAATAACACACTAGTTAAAAAGGAAGCAAAGAGTTTACTTATTAAATAAAATCAAAAGGAAAATGTATCTTCTGGTTTTTTAGGAGCCCTAATGACATGTTATTGAGTATTCTATCTTTATAACTTTCAATTTCCAATGTCAAATCTTTTTGTGTTACCCTGAGCCTGTAGGTCACTTTTCTTTAACACTTCAATACCAGAAATATTCCTTCTTCAATGCTGGCCTTCTTGAAATCCTTCATGCCTTAACGGTTCATTACTTTTTTTTTTCCTTACTTTTTAAATAGTATCTTTGCACATCATTTTTCCAACATTTAGTCTAGACATAATACTTGATCAAAAATGTTGAAATGACTCATAAATTACACGTTTTGGCAATTTGGCTACACACCCTCAATCACTACACATTTGCTCCTAGGTTACTTCCCTTACCAAATAAAGCTCAAACAGTAGTAGTGTCTGGTATTTTGCAGTTCTTGCATGTTCTTGTCTTCCACATGGTGTGTGTGAAGCGATTTACCCTTATTTCCAATCTGTTATGGTTAGGGATATTGATACAAACCCTCTGAATTGAAAACAAAAATTCAGTGGTCTCAAGCAAAGCCATTTTTAATTGTTTTGACCTGAGTTAGGAATCAGAAATTTAGTGATTTTTCTCTCTAAAGTCTCAGATCAACTGGTAGTTATGATGGAGCAGTGAGGGAGGTTTACAATATACATTGAAGGAAATAACTAACATACTGTTTTCCTATTCATACCTGAAAATGTTTTTTGAGTTCAAAGTTCAACTGAAAAAACAGTTGTTCCAATTCATTTGGTTAAGTAAATCCTTTCTAGTTACAGGTGTAACACAAGTTTATGTGTGTCAGTTCAGTGCTGGAAAGATAACAGTAGAAAGACCATGCTGTGCAAAGCAAAGTACATAGTATATAGAGACTTTGTCATATTTCTTAATAAATGGCATAAACTGTCTGAATAATTGATGGATACTGCTCACAGATTTTGGATTGAATGTTTGGGTATCTCAAGGCTCTTAGTGGAGGACAAGGTTAAAGTAACTGTCAATAATTAATGCTGTCACTTTCATTCAGAATCCAATTTCTACTGTATCTGGGGGTGTGTGAATCAATGACTTCCTATCTAAAGTAAGTCATTTAGGTTCTTGAAGTTTCCTTCAGAGAAATGGCAATATAACATAACAGCTTTAAGATGCAAAACAACATAAATTCCCCCAAAAGAATCTTGACCAGCTGTGAATTAAAATGCGGGTAAAATGAACAGAAACACTTCTCTTTTCCCATCTTACTCAAAAGGTGCCAATTTCAATTTTTTAACCCCTAAGAAACTGTTCTTACTCATCTGACAGTAAGACAAAATTGGGAGGCTCTTGAGAGTTCATTCTGATTTTTATTACACACCATAGACATGTTCACTAACCAGAGTAGGATGATTCTGTTCTCTTAAAATCACAGGAAATAGATTTCCACCTTCCTCCTTTTTTGATGTCGGAGGTGCATTTCAGATTATTTTGGGATTAGTTTAGGGCAAAGTAAAAGAAATCATGGAAGGCAGTATATAAATGACATAATTATGAAGCTATTTTTGGAAGCCAGTGGTAACTTGCTGATTGAGACTAACAAGGCTATCGTATTCACAATGCTATTACTCAGTTACTTCTATTTTGAACATCTACTGTTTACTGAACACCAAATAAAGTTCAAAGTGGTCCCTAAGAATCTTCAGTTCCTTTCAGCTTCCTATGATCCAGCACCTTCCCAAAGCTTCTGAAGAGAGTACAAGTCCTTGCTTACTAGAAATCTTTCCTGTGCACCCAGGAAACGTAGACAGTGCAACCACCTCCACTTCTTGTGCAGATGTGTGCTCTGAGAATCATGGCTGCTTTAGGCATTGACGGAGTATGAGCTGAAAATACTTAACCTAATGTTACCTTGGCTTTATATACTACACAGGGGAGTCTCTGGAGAGCATACTATTGTATTCCTGGTCCAAATTAAGGTTGGCATGGATATACTTAACCTTGTTTACACATACAGCAAAGGTTTTTTTTTTTTTTTCCTCAGACAGGAGGGAACATATATTCAACTTCAATTTTGAGGTAGGTAATAGCGAGAAAAAATACAAGACCCTCTAGGATCTAACCTCTGTCCACCTTTATAGGCTTATTGTCTTAATACTCCCCAAGTGGCACAACAAGCTAGGTGCTTATGGTTCATAACATACCACTGGTGCTTTTGCATCTGGCTCTTAAATTCAGCTTAAGCACTGCTTCTCTGTCAGGAAATTCTTACCTCTAAGTTGTCACCCTTATTTTCTTCCAATATCCTGGCATTATTTCAATAATAAACGCTATCACATTGCACTTTGTATAAATAATTTCATCTCTCTCATCTACTGCACTGTGCACTACTAGAGGACAGAAATTATGTACTTGTTTTTCTGTCTTCAGTGATAAGGTACTGTATACTCCATAAATGCTTCTTGAAAGAAGGGTCAAATGTATAAATTCTATTTACAAATGCTAGGTCTTTCCCACAAAACTAGGCAGAGACCATTTTTCACTCTGTCCACCTGGAGAAGTCACTTCATTCTGACCTCTTCCATTGATGTGCATATTACTAAGATGCAGAAATCCGTTACAGATGACCTATTTCTATTATCCCCAGTGTGAAGAGGCTGGTTTGAACTTGAACATGGAAAGTGCCTGGCACAGGGGCACAGGCATTTACAGGACACTGGACTTGAGTCCAAATTTTTTTAAGCTCCCGAGGGAATTCAAAAGACTAAGTGGCCTTTTAATTGACCATCTTTTAAGACTGCCCAGAAGGAAGACCAGCTCCTGCCATGGACAAAGCTGAGGCCATTCAGGAACCAAGTATCAGCACAATTTCCAGGAGAGATGGAATCAAAAAATTCTGGAGCCAGGAAAGAGGTTAGGGATAGTATCCAAACCTTGGAAGCTGTGGACCTCCGTGCCCACCATCCACCCCTTCCGGCCCTGCAGTAAGACTATGTGACAGAGGCAGTTTATCTGGTGCTAAATTGATCCTTAATCCTCTTCTGCATCCTACCACCCCACCAAGACCACAACAGGAATATCTGAATATTCTGTGGGCCTAAAACTACCTACGCTGCCCTTTGGGGTAGAGAACAGGATTCAGTGTTTGAAAAAAGTACATTAAAGAAAATGTTAATTGCTTTTCTTCATAGAATCCTGTCTTTCCTCTATCTCCCAAAGAGCTTGTGTTTCAAAAGGTCACAGTGTCTGGGGTCAGAAATAAGCTGCCTCCCACTCTGTTGAGCATCTACACACAGCAAGATTTTTTGTATGTTACCACAAATTTTTCAAAGAAATTATTTCTTCCTCCACTTACCACCTACCTTCTCCAAAATGCCAAAATTAAAGAAGTGCCCTAGAACTGATTATCTATTCTTCCCTTTATTCATATTAGGTATCTGTTAGCATATAAAAAATTAGTTGACATAGCTTTTGGAAAGTCTAGTTGGCAACAGAGTGGGACAACAGATGGCCACTCTGAAGCCAGACCCAGAAAGGTGACTAACTCTGCATGTATACGCTGATAAGAGTCCTATTTTTAGGATACCCTGAAAATTCTTGACCTGACGCAAAGCCCAAGAGAGTTCAGAGTAGGCACAATGATCATAACCTGATTCCCTGCCTAAAGCAAAATATACAACTTTTAGCAAGCGAGATATGCCAAAAATAGAAAATAAACAATTATACTGATAGCCTACAGCAGCTTTTATCTTTTGTAAGAGGCAATACTTAACAAGCTTTTCTTACGTGTTTCCTAGAATTCTTTTCAAGTACTTTAAAAGTGTTCTTTAAAAATAGATGGCTTTTAGTTCCAAACTTTGTTTCTACAGAAAGAGCTACTGGCAGACTCATTTTCAAATAATTCTAAATAATATTCTTTTCTTAAAAAAAGAAAAGGAATTAATAGCTGAGGACAATATCTAATTAGTACTACCTGTGATGGGCAATTTTTAGCTAAGTGTTTAAGTTCCTCTTAGCTTTGAAATTCTAACAGAATTTCAGTTGAAACTTAAGAAATGATAACTAAACTTATAATAAACTGCTCTACTGCAAAATTTTTAAGTCACATTCCAAACGTTTCGCTTGCTTTGATGGAAACTGTTGAAGCTCTTTATCAAAATTCAAAGACACTTAATGACAAGGTATATGGATAAGCAGATTTGAAAACTGTTATCACCTACTGAGTTATGCAGAAGATTCTAGTTCAAGTTGACACACAAAAAGTAAACTAGATTTAAAGTGCTGTATTTAAAAACAAACAAAATACAGTTTGTGTTTTGGGGCAATTAAAATAAGTGGAGACCTGACACTAAAAAGAGTAAAAGAATGAAAAACACAAATAGGATAATCATTCTGTAATTGTTCTATTTTGCTATTTTCACTCTAAAAATGCAGTCTTATTTAGAGAATGACAGCTGGTCAGATTTATGCTTCAGATATTTATCCATACTTATGCAGAGTTTTCAGAGTCTACTATGCCAGTCAGCTATTCTAAACTCTTTATGCTAAGTGTGAACATCTTCCCGGTACTACTGTTAAGTCTGATCTCATTTATCTTCTTCCTTAAGAACTGCATAGGCTTGTTATAAAAGGCTGAAACACCTGGGATACGCTAGAGTCTGCTTCGAGGTACTCTGTTAATGCTCTGGTGTGACCAGAGGAAAAGCAAGCATTATTAAATATGAATGCAATCCTTACCAACACAAATGGAACCTTTTTTTTCCCCCAATAAAAAAGCTAGTCCAGAAAAATGTCTCATTCTATAAGGATTTATCATTCCCAAATCACAGTGAAAGAAACTTGGGTCATTTACCAATTTTGTTTTCTATTATGCGCCTTAGAGATACCTCACTAAAAACTGGTATCTGACATAACAGAATAACATTTGCAGAACGTAATATTGTAGTGACAGTACTGAGGTTGATTGTTACATATTTAACTCTTTGAGTATTAAATGGTTACATCCTATTTATATAGAACATTGGTCCAATAATAAAAATAGAGAACAGCAGCTGGAAATTTATCTCATTCAATGTTCAGAGATAAAAGGGTTAACCATTCCTTCCATTATTTTCTGTAAATAAGTCCTTTTTTCATACTGAAATCTGATAGCAATTAGATTCTGATATTCTTCCAAGCTACTGTATGAAGAGGATGCTGAAGGCCATCACTACACAGCATACTGCAACGTAAGGACTCTTCCGTTCACCTGTTGAAAAAAAGGGGGAGATATTCATGTTGATTAACTGAGTTTAAGTTAACATGGATATGATAAGGTTATTACTTACTACGGGAGAGGGGTACATAAGGCTCAAGATAAAGTTCTTACCTAGGAGGCCCGTACATTTGGGGGGATGGGCCAAACAAGAACTAGATGCAGCATAAAAGCAAGTACAATACAGAATGAGTTAAATCATGCTGATTTATTTCTAAGACCACCTCCTTTCCCTGTGTTTAGAAAACCCTCAATGCACCAATTCCTGTGCCACTGCACAAACCCAGATACTGAAAAATACAACATAGAATGTAGGACACAGATCCAAGACAAATGATCTCAAATAATTCAATTAAGGGCAAAAAATATTGCTTCTTTTCCTGTAAAAAAGGGAAATTTCTACCTATAAAAAGAAATTCAACATACAATTTTTAGCTGTAACTTTTTTCCTCAGTGGCAGCAATTCATGACACTTATATGGGGAAAACTAAGCATTCATGGATGAACATAAACAGAGAGCGATCAGTAAAACTTCATTTGAAAAATGGGCATAAGCTACAAACCAAGAAAGAGACTCTTAACTATAGGGAACAAACTGATGGTTACCCGAGGGGAGGTGGGTCGGGGGGATGGGTGAAACAAGTGATGGGGATGAAGGGGTACGCTTGTCCTGATGAGCACCACCTGATATATGGAAGTGTTGAATCACTATATTGTACCTCTGAAACTAGTATTACACAATGTTAACTAGAATCTAAAGAAAGACTTCATGATTACTCTTGGGTTAGAAGTGTAGAACTTAAAACCACCACTTATTTATAGAAGTCAATTTTCACATGTATTTAGTAAATGTTTTTACTTGGAGACTTTCCTTTGCATGAAGTAGATTGGAGTTGGCTTGTGAAACTGTCTTGCAAACAGACAGAGACCCTGTAATTGTGAGTTATCCCAAACTCATCTCATTCTTTCCTGCTTTTCATTTATTGAAGGGCTACACAATTATTGAAGGGCTGTACAAAGCACCAGGCATTTATGCTGCTCGGGGGGATGCATAAGAAAGGGAGAAGGAAGAAGAGGGAGTGATGTGCTACTTCTAGAAATAATCAGACATATACCTGGTGTCCTGTAGTAGAGACTGTTTTTGTGTTTTTCTGTGATGTTTAAAATCAGCTCTCTTCCAGTAATTAAGTTTCTTCAGCAAGGAACTATTTTATTTGGCAAGTTTAATTACCTCTGGAAAATGTCAATCTCAACCATCCTCATCAACTAAAATCCTCAAGGTTGTTTTTATTTTCAGAGCTTCCTCAAAGAGCTCACAAGGTCATATTGCTATTAATTTTACCTTTGTGTCTGCTCAATGACAACATTCACAGAAGATATTACACACATACAAGTAAAAGAAACATTTGTTTGTCTGAAAGTGTTTTTCTATCCATAGACACTGGGCTGCGTTCTAGCTAAAGGAAAATTTAAAAAGTGAGACAAAAGCATTTTCACAATGCCACTATCTCAACTGGAAAAAAACAATTTTTAAACTAAAAAAATAACTTTGGTCATCATTTTTAACTAATGTTAATTTTCTGGGCAACAACCCAAGTTATCAAACCAAACCAAACCATTCAGACATAATTTTCAGGTGGATTTCATAAGCAAACCAGTCACTCTAATTAGGGCTAGATACTCTAATTGTCAATATTGTCTTATTAAACACCTAAAAAAAGAAATTAATATTGCCCTAAATTTTCCATCTGCTGAAAATTAAGTTTTGAGAAAGTTCTTCTCTTCCTCATCTTCCAACTTAGAATGCTATAATTTACATATGGGTTTCATTTTCCTGTTTTTAATTTTCTTAAAAGAGATTGCCATGTGGTAGAACTAAACATCTTTGGTTCAACTTGGGTAAGAATGTTACTTCTTGTCTGGTCTTAGGTCTGTTTAAGTGAATGTGAAACAGTTGCTGTAACGTGATGTGTAACATGATAAGATGATTTGGCTGGGCCTTTTCCTATTAAAATCGCATCCTTTCTTGGTGGATATATTCTGTGTCAAGATAAGAGAGGAGCATATGGCTGAGAAAGCAGCCTATCAGCATCAACATATTCTGAGCCATTTTGCCAAAATGAAAAGCTAATGCTTTCACATAATTGGCATCAACGAATACTTTAATTGAACCATTTAACCCATGGCATTCGTACAGTCAAGAGAAAAAAATGAAAATAACTGACCAAGCAAAAAGAAAGGCACAGTTTATAATTAGACAAAAAAACAGATGATACTACAGGAAATCATTGAGAGAGCTACAGACTAGATGCCTTAAACTTTCAGCTATACTTTTAAGTAACAATTGTGAAAAGGGTCACCTGGGTTGGCTACTGAATGAAGCTGTACATACTTCTCTAATTTATTACACAAAATGGATTTAAAATACCTTAACATTTAATTTAAAATCCCTTAAAATCTTTTATTTACGAATTAGCAACTTCATAATATTAAGGTGAAAGCTCTACCTCCTAACTCCAGACTTTTTATATTTTTACCAATGAATATTCAGTATTACTCTGATCCAGAGAATTTCACTGTGTTAGAACGGTCTTGTTCTTCCATTATGTTCTCTCTTTGAAGTTTTCTTGAGGTATTCTTTGCACTCTGTTCCTTGACAATATTATTTCATTTTCTGGGCGACTTGGCTTTGAAACAAGCAGTTTGGTTTACATGTATTTACATTTACTACTAGCTATCAGAACTGGCCATCAAGGGTGCTCTTCTGTCTCTTTATCTCTCCCTTCTTGGTTATTTTTAAAGTGATTAAGATTTCTACTGTTATTTCAGGCTTTGCAGCTGTTGAGCATGACTGGATGTCAGATAAGTCTGTACCACAAATCTCTATAAATCTAGGTTGGGCCCTCTCAACTTTGGCACTGACATTTTGGGCTAATTCTATGTAAGGGGCTGTTCTGTGCATTGTAGGATGTTTAGCAACATCCATGATTTATACTCAGTATATGTCCCCCCACTCTAGTTGTGACAAACAAAAATGTCTTCAGACACAGTTAAATGTCCTGATTGATAACCACTTATCTAGGGCTTACCTATCTAAAGTCAGTGATCGTCTCTATAAAATAAAGATTCACATGTCTATCACCCTACGAGATATCAAGTATGACAAAAAACACTGAGGAGGGACAGGTTAACATGTTAAAAGCACTAAGAATTCTCAAGATGTCTGTTTCAATGGTCAATACATTAGATTGAGGGCCCCAAAAGTACTCTTTTCTGAAACTATTTATAGTACACTGTCATTTTCTATAGCAAGACACCTGAAAGGCCAACAAATCTCATGATCTCATTGTAACAGATTTTAAAAGGAGTTCTATATAATTTAGTATGATGCTTACAACTTCTACTGTTAATGGGTCTTGCCGATCACCAAAAGCTCAAGGGAAGAAAACCTGCTCCTTCATACTTATTTATATTAGTGGCTAACAACATATTTCCAAAATATGTTTTATTTAGAAAAATTTCTAAATGTTACAAAATCTTAGTTTGTAGTAGTTTTTAATCTTTAATCAATTTTGTTTCCTGTTATGGACCATCTTCTAAATTTTCCATTATCTATGATAAATGAATCCAAAAGAAAACAATACTCTAGATAGAAAGCAGCTTATCTAAGGGACATGACTCCTAAACTCCCCCTTCCTATTTAAAGTGATTTATTGGGGTGGGTAATTCAGGCTGTTGTCAGACTGGCTAACTAGACTAACCATCAAATGCAGCAACATTTTTCTCTTATTATGAAAGTCTCATAACTTTATAAAAGAAAAAAAAACAGTTACATACAAATTAAATACTGGAAGAGTACTAAAATCTAACTTTTTTTGGAAGGGGTCATGTAAATAATTCCAAAGAGGAGAAATATTCATTTTGTGCCATCCAAGTGGAACAATCACAAATGCTCTGTAATGTTTTTTTTGGAACTAGCTATGTTAAAAAGGGAATAACCTATTATTTGAGAATATTGGCGAATTACATCATTAAAATACATTTTAATTCATTCACTTGCCAATCCTTTGAGAGTCTCCCATGAACTGGGCACTGTGCTAAATGTTATATACATATAGGGATGGGATAAGAGTATATTATTATTTAAACATAAACACACGATGACACTAATTTTATTATGAAAAGTTAGAAGATAATCATATTTAACTTTAATCAATTAGAACAAAACTCAGCTATGATCACGAATTTGATAGGTGAAACAGTTAATGCTTTCCAAAAGCAACAAATAACATTCTAACATTCTTGGACTTAGCATAGGGGACTAAAATGAGTATGTTTAGATGGTTGCTTAGCAAGCCTTTCATTAGATGGGAAAGTTATCCTTAGTTATAAAAATAGTACACATTATACAGAGTAGCATGTTCTATACTATAAGCATGTGTGCATAAAACTGTACACATTTGTCTGAAATCTCAACACTAGGGAATGCATAGAATTTGATATCTGAATTAGATTTTTCTTGTAGTTTCCATCTTCCTGCTAATTAAGTATTATGAGGTATCTACCACGTCTAGTTTTAAATAGCGTAAGAAAAGAGTTTGGGGAATTCTACAAACTTGCAGAAGTGCACAAAATTGGGAAGCCTGCAGTTTTTTTTTAAATAATTTTTTATTGTTATGTTAATCACCATACATTACATCATTAGTTTTTGATGTAGTGTTCCATGATTGTTTGTGCATAACACCCAGTGCTCCACGCAGAATGTGCCCTCTTTAATACCCATCACCAGGCTAACCCATCCCCCCACCCGGGAAGCCTGCAGTTTTAAAGCTGACATTTGACTTGTGGGAATATGGCATAAGTAAATTGCCCAACAATTTACAGCTGAAGATGTGGAGATTGTAATAGACACTTACCAATTCTGGCACACTTCCAAAATATACCCAACAATCTGCATAGAATAAAAAAGGAAAAAGTAGCTATCGATTATTGGGAAAGGTAAATCATTTTCTCAGTATCCTAGAGAGCATTCATTACCAACTGGCATTTTTACCTTCTGGTACTTCGAAACTGAAATTTATTTGATATTGAGCCACCATTTGTGTAGGAAAGTAGGACACACTTGCTTACCAAATGTTAGTGTATATAAACTGTTACAAATTGGAATACATGTGGTATCCTAGGTTAAACCCATGGTAAAATAACGTGCAGCAAAAATGTGCACAAGGCTTTTTATTGTAAATTAATTCAGTCAACTTCAAGTGCTTTATTCTCAAAAGTAGAAAATACATATGCCATTTTACATAAACATTAATTTTGAGAAAATGGTAAATGAACACAGTTGGTTCGGGTGTTTTTGACATTAAAAAATAAACTCTCAAACTAAAGAAATTACTTTTTACAGAATGTAGTTCTATATTTAAATGATTTATAACCATGAACTCCAATGATAGCATTTACATAACTATGTCAACTCAATAAGGAAGGATATAAAAAAAATATGTGCTTAGAGTACACTGTGTATGAGTCAACTAAATATGGCATTTAAAACACATACATTCTGGAAATAAGAATTAGAATGAAGATGTTCATTGCAATTCTATGAATGAATATACTATGAATTAAATACAAATTATATGCATATTTCACTTATTCAGCATGTATAAAAAGTACGAGCTTTAGAAGAAAATCAACTGGGTCATTCAATGAATAGAGATAGCTAAAAGATATAAAAACATTGTAGACAACTATTTTGTTGCTCTGACAAAAGAAGAGAATTATAAATGGTGTTATACAAGGCTACAAATCAAGATAAGTTAGCAGTACTTAGTGGTACTTATTGTGTAGGTTAGGACTGGTGTAACAAAATTGAAATACGTAAATTCCAGGGAAATTTATGTCATGCTTTTTTTTTTTTTTGCCCTAAGAGATGGCTGGCTGATGAATAATTATATATGCGTGGTTAAGACTGAAAGAAATTACTGTTTGATTAAGTTCTATATATATTCCTCCTCTGAAGTATAACTTCCTGACCTCAAAGCAAAAAGTCTCTTAGTTCAGATGACATGAAATGGGCAAAAATACAAGTTTATTTTGAAGGATGGACATTCTGACAGGTGCAACGGTTTTACTATAGGAATAAAAGGACAAAAATCAAATATACTCTTGAAAATAATGTAGGATAACATGAAGGTCAGATTGTGCCTAAGTTTAATCCTACTTAATTGGTTGCATAACTGTGAGCAGGTTATTTTCTCTTTAATAGCACTCACACTCATAGGCTTGTTATAAGGATTAAATGTGTTATTACACAAATTCTTCAGAATAGTAACTAACGTGTGCTGTGTTCAGTAATACATAGGTTAAAGGCACATGTGACAGTAACTTCAGATATCACTTAAAATTGGCTTACATGTCATCAAAAAATGGAAGACAATTGGTTAGTCATCTGCAATGCCATGGTTCCTTGATTCTAAAAACCTACTGATTATAACATGCACATTGATTTAAAGCTACTCTGGATGAGGGACTCAAGAGGCGGGACACCCGAAGCTCCTCCACGGGAAGCTTAGAGTCTCACAGAACATAATCTAAAACCATATGATCACAATCAGGGTCATTTCAGGTTTGATAACCTAGAAATAACTCAAAGCATCATTAGGAAATTGTTACAACACATATACTAAAAACTATACAAATGAAAAAAGTTTCCTAACTCAGGCAACTTAGAGATTTATCATTACCACTTTGGCCTTTCCCATATTTCCCTACCTAGACATATTTCTGTCATATGCCAAATGCTATTTATTAAAACACAAGAACTTTATTAGTTAGGAAAAACCAATATAATTACATTGCTTGGTTTTTATGGCTATAAGCCAATAGGTATATCTGCTGATAAAGCTAATCAGGTCTATGATAATAGGAAATGAGGCAAAGTACCAACTGTTTATTGCTGCTTTTTAGTTCTATATTATTTGAAGCAGCAAAAAAATTGTTATTTTCAAGAGTGAATTCATCAAGAACCTGCTTTATCCAATTAGGCTAGATATCTCTACTTAAACATGGAATATTCACTATAATGAAAGGGCAGTTTAATGAGTCTCATAAAAACATATATTGTAACAGAAAAGGACAATAGCCTGTTAAGAATTTCTCCCAGAGAAAATATTTCTTATATACAAGTGAAAATAAAATGGTGCCTAACATTTATATAAATAGAAGTAAAGATTTTTAAAAAGCCTTTAAATGGTTGACTGTATCAGTATATGGTTCAAAATATAGAAATAGGCATGCTATTTCTTTGGTATTATATGTAGGAGAAATATACTACTACTCAACCTCTACTGTAAGGTTGGCAGCCCTGAGAACTCCTTTTTTTAATGTAGCATGTAATGGATGTATTCCTGCTCCCCAAAGAATGAGGAGCAGACTTTTCCACATGCAACCTACTTTCTTCACAACAGCATCAGACAAGCATAAATATTCTATTCTGTGATTGTTTTTATAATGAAATAAACAGTTAAATATCTTATTAGCTAGATGTTATGTATTATATTACAATACCAAGCAACACATCAATGAGGATGTTTACTGTTTTCCACCATATGCTTTAAGTCAATAGTCAGGGGTTGCAGAAGGGAAGGAAGAAATAAAACAATCTGGTTGGGTGGAAAGGCTTCACGCACAACTGAGCAACAAGTAAGATTATACAACTTCAACAAAGGGACAAAGTACTATATAATTTCAAAAAATGGACAAAGTGAGTTAAGACTAAGTGCAAGAGGACTTCAGAGAAAAAAACGTGATGAAAAGTCAATGTTTACAAAGGAAGAAGGGCATTGTCATAAAAACTGATGGACAAATAACATCAGTAGGTTAAATAAAATCCCTCAGGCTAATAGCAACAGATGATCAGTTTATTAGAACAGGATTAGGGATTTTTAATATTCGAAACTTGTTAAAGGTTCTATTTATTCCTTTATACATGTTTGAACAACCCTAGGAAATAAAAAGGAAGAAATGGTAACAAAAGCCAAATAATTTAGACAGAATGTCTGAATAAATGCTAATTATGTCCTCAAAGATAGCATGGAGGTGAAGGAAAGGGAAGCAGAAATTATTATTCTCATAGCTGACTATCACCTTGCCTCTTGTAGATTTTTATTAGTGGAAAAACAGAATTTGATGTTGCAGGATCCTTATTTGGCCCAATACAGGTGCTGGAGATAATTATTCCTATGTGCAGTGTTCTTTCATTCTTTTATTTCTTAAAATGATTAAGAGGTATAGGCTTTTATTAAGAAAGGATTAAGATAATTTTTCATAGAAATTAATAAATATGCAAGGTGAAGAAAATTTACATAGCTTCCACCACATAGTCTCTGTTTTTTTTATATACTTTTCCTTTTGGTTGAATTCAACATGTATTTTTGTGTTATGAAGATGGCACTTTAAAATTTTTAATTCTGTGTGGTATCATATTGAGCTCAAATTTTTTCAGGGTGTGAACATATAATACAAGAGATGTGTCAAGCCCAAGACTTAATTTTTATTACTGCTTTATGTAAGTGAAATAAATTTCTCCAAAGATGTTTGCTTTCTGATACTAATAGGGAGCCCATATGATTAGAGCAGTCTTGGACTGGAGAGGGAAATGTCTACATTATATTTTTATGGACACAGTGCTTGCAAACTGTTTTATGCTTCAAAAACATGACAACCAACTTTTTTTTTTTTAATAACCAACTTTACTAATTATTGCATAAAAAATTAAGGCCAAACACTATCTTTGAAAGAGCTAAACTGTATTTCTAATTCCAGAAAAAAACCTGTCATATCTTTTTAAGTATAGTTTTTATTGACACATGTCTGGTCCCTTCTGATATTTATCTTTTTGTTTTCAGATTTTTAAAAATAGAGGGAGAATATAAAAAGTTATTACGAAACTAAGTTACATATAGGAATTAAATTATTTAATGACTTTTATGGTAATTTACCTTCAATGTCTATAGGACCTAATTTGGGTGATTAGATATCATTAGTAACATACCCAGTTTTATTTCTGTCCAGGAGGCTGGGTGCCAAGGATCGGATATAAGCACAGGTACATATAAGCAGCAAGATTACAGTCAACAGACTCTGAAAATTGAAAATGGCAGACTAAAAAGAGAAAAAGAAAAATTAGTATCACAAGAAAAACAGCATAGGTAAAAACTGCTAGACAATTCTGTATTAAGAATCATACTTTTGTTCTTCTCAAAGACAAACGGAATGGCATGTCTGAGAACACTTAAAACCCCAAATCATAAGGTATTCCGAGAGTGTACTTTCCTCTCCATTCTTTGAGCTAAGGAATGCAGGAGATGCAAGAAAAATTCTAAATTCGAGAACTTGAAAACACTACCAAAAATGTCATGAATCTAAAATATCTCACCAAAACTGAATCAGTATGTAATAAATACAGATGTTCTAGGAGCCCAGACTACTAGGCAGGACATAAAGTTGACAGGCTCTGAGTGTAGCTGGTCGTATGACTTCGGCTGAACCATTAACCTCAGTCTCTCTTTCACATCCGTAAAACTGGGTGGAGAGTGGGGATATAGACTAAATGTTGGCTAAGGTTTCTTTCAATTCTGAAATTCTGTTAGGATAAGAAAGCTTCACATTTAAGTAATCATGTTGCATGCACTGACTAATACTAAGCTATGAGGTTTTGGTGAAGAAAAACCATTTGCTCTTTCACTGCTCATTCTTTAAAAGCTATTCAAAAAATTTAACATAGGAATCACAGGAAATCAGTTTTCCAGTCAAAGGAAAATGGAGGTGGACTCAATCTATTCAAAATTCAGCTCAAGCATCATCTTCTCCAGGAAGTCTCCTTGAACCCATCGACCTCCCCTCTCCTTTTTTCCACACAGAACTCTCCTTTCTGTTCTCACAGGAACTGTTATACATTTTATAATACTCATCCCTGAAAGTGGACAACGTCTCATCAGGCTCTGAACTCCAGGATATGACTGTGTACCTACCACACAGTAGACCAATAAGTAGTGGCCGAATAAATAAAACAATTTTTTGAAAGTGCAGGAATACCATTATATATATATATATATATAACAATAATATTTCCATTACATAAGGTAGATAAAATATATCAGTCTCACACAGTAGCCAGCAATATGCTTTAGTAAACTCAGAAGGACCTTCTATTGTGTCATAGTTAGACAATAAGAGTTACAAAATTTTTTGAGAAAGGCAAAACTGTTACTTACAAATAGTAAGTGCTACCTGAAAAGCCCAAAAGAATCCAGTGAAAAATGATTATACACAACAAGGGAATTGAGTAAGGTGGCTGGGTACATAACTAAAATATTTAGATCAACAGCCTTCAGAATTATGTTACCAACTAGCTGAAAGACATAATGGAAAAAAAGTTTCTATTTATAATAGCAAGTAGAACAAAAAGCTGAAATATTGAGGAATAAGCTTAACAAGAAGTACAGCACTGGCATTAAAGAACAAAACTGAGAAAACCTTTAAATGTACTAAAAACATAAAAGTAGAATGGAGTGGTATACCATGTTCTTACATTGGAAGGCAACATCATAAAGCTAATCTATAAATTTAAAGTGAACTCAATACCAGTTATTTCTGAAATACACAACTGATTCTGAAGCTCATATGGAAAAATAAATAAGCAAGAACAGCCAGGAGAATCCTAAAACAAGAACTAACCTTGTCAGAAACTGTCAATATTTTTTAACCTCTTATATATTTTTATGGTAAGTATTTATAAACTATTCAAAACATTAAGAAATAATACATGGTATTTACCAATATTTTTAAAGACAAAAAAATGCTTAGGTACAATGCTAAGCAGTGGGGAAAACAGCACACAAAATTTCATAATCAGCATATCTTCAGCTATGTAAACGTTTAGGCAAACAAGAGGGGAGGAATGCATTATCTTTGGAAGGTTTTTGGCCCAATTCTCAACTTTTCTGGATTTCTCAAATTATTTTTATGGTCTGAAAAAGATAAAATTTATTTGTAATTACTATTTTAATAGTTGTTTTGTATGCAAATCATTTCTTCATGGATATACAAAGGATAACGTTTAGTATGTCTTGGTTTCTTATTGAATTGGATTTTAATTTTACATTTGTGAAAGTTAAGTTGTACAAATTTTATTATAACTTGAAATAAACCAATAAATGAACTCTAAGTTCTATATAGAAAACAGTAAGTTTTTCACAATGTTTATCTTTCAAAGATATTTTGAACATGTATGTGAATATATTAATATAGTACTTGATAACAACCTCATGAAATACAAAGCACAGATTTCTTTCCAGCCAACATAACTAAACCTGTATCTAGTAAGTACTCTGTCTGGACCATGAGGCTAGACACAGGATTAAAAAGGTACATAGCAGGATTCTTTGCCTCCAGGAGTCTATAGCTAACAACAATAACTGATATTCACTGAAGGCTTATTTTAGATTATTTTATTTATCCTCATATATTTGAGGTAGGTGTTATTAATACCTGTATTTTATATATGAGACAACTGAGGCATACAGCAGTTATAATCAAGTTAGAACAGGACATATATTTTAAAAATAACTAGCAATTCTTTGTAGCATGTATTAAGTGGCGACTGAACCATACTGGCAAAAAATGCTGTTTTCATAAAGAAAGTCAGGAAAAGCTTCAAGGAGAAAGCAAGGACTGAGTGAAGTCAAGAAAGGGCACAATTAGATTGGCAAATAGGGAGCAGGCTCCAGAAGAGACAAAAGCATGGAAAACATCCTCACAGAATCAGGAATTTGCATGTTTAAGGAATAATGAGCGGCTTATTGTATTAAACAAAGGACTGATGTAGTAGAGTGGCTGGAAAATCAATTTGCAAAGTAGGTTTATCATGTTCCTAATGGAGTATCTAAATTTCACAATTTTGCAATGTGTACTTTTTCTTTCCCTGAATGAATAGTGAAAAAAAAATGCTTAAATGATATGATGTCTGGGATTGGTTTCTAAATAATTCATTATGTGTGGTGGGAGGTGTGGGGTTGATGATGAAATGCTGAGGATGTGAGGCTTCATTATACTCTTCTTTCTACCTTTGTATGTTTGAATTTTTATATAATAAAAGATTTTAAGAGGTACTTAAAGACATGCCTATTATTACAGAAGTGGGGTGTGTATATATACATTTGTGTGTGAAACCATTTATAAACGAAAACCATTTACAAGTGTGCAATATATGAAACATACAACTTTGTTTCTGGGGTTTATAGACCCTAAAATTTAAACAAATAATCTTAGGCGGTAAAGTCTTTTAGATGTACTCAAACTCTGACCAAACAAGAATGTTTCAAAGCTATAGACATTAGCCTACCATTTCTTACCCTACCTAAGTATTCCTTTTAATGCTTAGCATCTGTTGTCCGCTGATATAAAATTTTCATCTCAGTTTTAAAAGAAACAGATGTTCCTATTCTTGTAGAAAAATTGGGATTTTCAATAGGAAAACGTTATTAAAAAGGAAGAAGTTAAGAAAAAAAGCAAGCACAGTCGATCACAAAATAAGAGGAAAAGATTTAAAAAAGGTAATGGAAGTAAAATTCATTTACTGTTTAATTTTTTTCAGATCATGACATCTTTTTCAAGGTACTCTGTGTTTCTGCACAGGCCATCTATTTTTGCCTGCCTGGTGAACTGATTTAATCTTTGGGTTTCAACTCAAGAGTCACCTCCTCTGTGAAGTCTTCCCTGTCCCCACTTGCCATACCAAGCAGTCAGGATTGTTGTGCAGGTGTGTATCATAGATAGCACCCATCAAACTGTATTGTAATGGTCTCCTCTATTTTACTGAGGTTCACATCGACCCCTTGTGCCTATTAAAATAGTGCACAGAAGTCACTGAAAAATGTTGAATGAACAGGAACTTGAAAACAACTGCAAATAATGAACATTTCAACAAATTCAAGAGCATACTTAAATTCCAAATTAACAATGCATGTATTAAAAAAATGTAGATTAGACTGCTGAATATTTGGCTAACTATTCAAGAGAAACTGCCACACATGGCTCTGCATTGATACTTGTCAATGATATTTTGGAAAATGCAGATGGAAGAAACAAATACCCTGATGTTTATGTTAAGGGCCCAGGCTGGAGGGTAAAATAAAGGCCTGAGGTAATTCCCTCTCAACATTTCAATCTTCTTATATCACCAACTGGAATTCCGAGAAAGTTCTACCAAGAAGTCAGCTTCAAGGTACTTGCATATGGGACAATGAGTGTTTTTGACTCCATCTAATTTGTTAAGAGATACACATCTTCCAGAGGTGTGGATGACCTGACCAGAGTAGGCTAGCTGGCTGGCATCAAATTCCACAACCTCAATTCTCAAATCTAAGGTTTACGTACTTTTCAGTCAGGCAGTGCCAGGGAGTTTAACAAGTTTAGCTAACTATTAAATATCAAGTAATGTACACTGCAACTAAGGAGTTATAAAATACAACTCATTCCTTCTGGAGGCTCTAGGAAAAGAATGTTTTCTTGCCTTCTCCAGTTTCTACAGGCTGTCTGCAATCCTTAGCTAGTGACCCCTCATCACACTGACCTTGATACTTCTTTTGTGACTATGACCCTATTGCCTCCCTCTTAAAGGGAAACTTGTGATGAATTGTTCCCCCTCCCCATTCCAAATTTCTTAATCTCATATGTTGGGTCTCTTTTGCCAAGTAAGATAACATATTTACAGGGTTTTATTTTTATTTTTAAGTGGGGGAGGGCATTCTACTATACCAATGACACTTCCGTTTTATTAAGAGGTATCCAATAACATTCCCTAGACTCTCTGGAGCACAACCTCAAATATAATCAGAATGGTAACACTTGGGGTTGTGGAATACAGCAGCCTTGCCCTTTTGACAGTTACTCTCACAGTTGTGTTCATTCTTCTAAAAAACCGCAATGGACATCCTAAACTGTTTTTCTCCAAAGGCTCCTTTTATTATCCCTCCACACTCCAGACCTGTCTACTACTCATAAGACTTTGATATGCTTCAAATAATTAGTACTATTATACTAAATTAAAATTATGCAAACCAGAAAGAAATCAACTTGATGAGTCACTTTGTATAATCATTCTGAAGTAAATCACAATTTGTTAGGCCTTCTGAAATAATGAAAATAATTCAGACTTTCATCCGGTCACCACTACAGTAGATGAAATAATTTATCAGTGAATAAATGAAGATTTGTTGATGCAAAGCTTAGTGCTAAAACAAAAAACTACTTGCGATGTTAACACATCTTTTCAAAAACTCTCTATTCTCAAGTCAATCTGAAGTTAGGAATATTTATTTCAGATTCAATTTTTATCATTTTATCTATGAAGATACAATTTCTTGTTTTCAGTCACAAGTGAATATTAAAACTATATTCATTAAGCTTGGTTATAAAGGCAAGAATTCAGTGTAAGGTTTTGTTTTTAGATGTATATATAAAAATAGTTTAAGAAACCATCCAAAACATTAGGAATAGAGAGAAAACAGGGGAAAAGATCCCAGCAGTATAAAGGCACAAAGAAACAGTGAGAAAGGCAGCAGAAATATACATATTAATATGCTGAACAGCTGTCTGTGGAGTGCTCAGTGACTGGTTGCTAACTGTACTTAATCTACAGAAAAGACTAAGCCTACAGTCTTCATTAGTCCTGGATCACTTGAGCTCCCTACAGCTTATTTATTTTTAGCATTATCAAAATAAACTGTTTAACCAATATGTGGATTAAGGGCCTTCTTTATGCATAACACTGCATGGGAGCTTCAAATGTTGATTGCATCTTACGTGGAATTAACATATTAATTTCTCCATTTAACTGGAATTCACTTTAAAACAAGAATTGAATACCAAAGACTTACAATTTTTAAAACTCCAAATAGTAACAATTTTACTTGTTTTAAGACTTACGGCTTTTACACAAAACTAGTCATTTATCCCTCTCAGAAGGTAAAAGGACCCAGAAATGATATTCCTGACCTAATTGTGATAAAAACTATACAGTACTGCAAAAGTGGGTCAGCATTTTATCACATACAAATCTAGGTCAGGCCAGCATTTTCCAACTAGTTTCTACTTGTAAATTTTATGTACCACTCTTTTCTCTTAAAATGGAAAACATGGAAATGCAGGGATAAATGAAGCCTGTATATAAATGTGCAAACACATCCCTCCTCACTTGCCCAAGATAAGTGACCACAGGTGATTAATATTTCCATTAACACAGAAATACTGACATTTTATTTTGTGTTATTAGCACGTAAGTTCAACCTTTGTTGCTTACTGTAAGGCAGCACTGAAATTGTACCCCATATGCAAATTATTTTGGTTTAATTTGAAACCAAGAAACCAGGATTACTTAATGTCTTGATGTTAAAAACCTCTTAACATCAGTGGCCATTAAACATTTGCATTATTTAGGAAATAATCCAGTGTATTAATTTGTCCTTGGATAAATCTGCACCTCTATATTATCAGTTTAATTTCACTTGTAAAATGAGGAGCTGGACTAAATAGCCATTTGATCTCATTGGTCCTGTTTCAAAAATGTAGACTCTTGCCATATTTTTAAAGATTTTATTTATTTGAGAGAGAGAGAGAGAAACAGCAGGAGAGGGGAGAAGCAGGCTCCCCGCTGAGCCGGGAGCCTGATGTGGGACTGGATCCCAGGACTCCGGGATCATGACCTGAGCTGAAGGCAGTCGCTTAACCAACTGAGCCACCCAGGCGCCCTATGTAGACCTTTTCTATTTAACCTTTCCACTTAAAATTAAGAACTTTCATGACTACGAGGAAAGGTACAGTTCAGAGTAGAAGCACCTCAGTTCTGTTCTCCACTGGCAACATAGGTGGTCATTTGCACTTATTTTCATCTCATTGTCATGGTATCTATAATGTATTTGCTATGTTTGTGTTGCTTAGTTGCAGAGCGATTTTATAGACACCAGAGATCTAAATATAAAACAAGGGGATCAAAGGTGTTAATAGGAGAAAGTATACATAGAACCATGATAAGCAGTAGACTTAAAAAAAATATGAAGCAATAAATATTTCACATGTTGATAATTTGATAAGACAAAATTATTCCAAAGTGCAAATCCTGTTATGAAGAAAAGTGTTCTGACCATTCAATCGGAAATGACAAAGATTGATAAAAGGGAAAAATTTTCAATATTTGGAGTCAAATGTGGTATGAAGCCTGGCTGTTCATAAGAATCACTTGAAGCTTTTGGGCGCCTGGGTGGCTCAGTCGGTTAAGTGTCTTATCTTTGGCTCAGGTCATGATCCCATGGTTCTGGAATCGAGTCCCACATTGTTGGGTTCCTCCCTCTGCCCCTCCCCCCACTCATTCTCTCAATCTTTCTCTCTCTCAAATAATAAATAAAATCTAAAAAAAAAAAAAGAAAAAAAGAATCACTTGAAGCTTTTAAAAACTATCGATGCCCAGAAATTTGGACTGAATTGTTTGGCCATCTCATTTCTCAGAGCTATTTCCACTACACGTTGTTTCTCTTTATCATAACAGAAAACACGTGGAGGGGCACCTGGATGGCTCAGTTGGTTAAGCGACTGCCTTCCGCTCAGGTCATAATCCTGGAGTCCTGGGATCGAGTCCCGCATCAGGCTCCCTGCTCAGCAGGGAGTCTGCTTCTCCCTCTGACCCTCCCCCCCTCATGCTCTATCTCATTCTCTCTCTCAAATAAATAAAATCTTTAAAAAAAAAAACACGTGGAATTTACTTATTTAATAATCTCCCTCAGTGGACTGTTAAGTCCTTAAAGACACTTAGCGTATTTTACATGACTCTGGTTCCCCAGATGTGCAATCGTTTGAGTACTAACTCTACCTGTCATTGTGATGTAGATATTAGAAGACCTGGTCTCTGTTTTAGAAAACTCCAGCTAGAGAGGGAAGAAATATATGCAACAATGTATTGCTGTTTTTTTTGTGGTAAGTGCTATGGCTGGAGGTACACTGGAGGTATATACATGGACTGTGGATGCCCAAATGGAGACCCAGGAGAAGAATATAGAAGGGGTAGGGGAGGGTTTTTGGGAAGAGATGAAACTTGAGATAAATCTTGAAGGATACTAAGAGGGAGAACAAGGCACTCTGAAGTTCTTAAAAGTTTAAATACTGTTTATCTTAAACACAGTATCTGTCTTGCTATTAGCTAGTTCATAAGACACTAAGATGATGAAAATCGATCTTTGATTTGTACTATGAGTAGAATAACTAAACTTCAGCATCTAAGAAGTGCAAGAATTAAGAGTGACAATGTCCGGGGGCACCTGGCTGGCTCAGTCATTAGAGCATGTCTCTTGTTGCAGATAGAGATTACTTAAAAAAAGAAAAGAAAGAGTAACAGTCTCTATTCTTTTTAAATTGAAAAAGGAATCAAATTCTCTTAGTTAAGTAATAGTTCTCTAATGACACTCTTTAAGACCAAGTATACTCATCCGATCGTGTGGTAGGTAGGTAAAGAAGCTGGAGTACATTCCTGGCTAAGGAAGGAATAACCTGTCAAAAGACTGCCATTTTCTAAGTTCTCCAGGAAAGACCCTGTGACTTATGCCCCATTTATAATCAAAGTAGTTGAGCTAAAGCAAGAAACAATGAGTTTTCGATTAAATGTCTAAGGGTTTAGTGTTGTATAGGGTTCTGCAGGAACCTCTGGAAACATAAGCTCAGTAATTTTCACCCCACAATAGCTTTTTGGGGGGTCATGTTTGCTTTTGATACTATAATCAAAGGCATGCATCCTTTCCCCAGAAATATGCTCATAAATGCAACATTTGGCCCATGGGTTTCATTAAGTTCACCCGGTGTAGAGGCGGTTGACATTTACTGTAACAAAGGTAAAAGGGCTTCACACATCTTGGGAGATTTCAGTATTACTACTATTGTATCTGTCCTCCGGCCATGCTGACTCTACCTTTTTTTCCTCTGCCTGAAAACGTAGGCATTTCTTTTGAAAACTTTTCATGACTTATTTTAAATTTTCCTAAGAGGCCCAAACTACCAAAGAATCTGCAATAACACAAAATCATACATACAACCGTAAAAATGTGTGAGGAAGGAAGGTCCGAGGCCAAAAGCCACCCCAAGTACATTCCTAGAGGAAAAACCACTTCTCCAGAGATCGCCAATGTTTAAAATCTAGTTTGTAGAGTAGGAAGAGCCTGAAAGGTCACTAACTCAACAGATGAAAATTAAGAGGTGGAGCTTGGGGTTTCTAACGACAACAATGAAACACCTGGGCCAGGCCCTCAGAGACATTAGAGGACGCGAAATAACAAGCGCAAACTCAAGAAGCTCCACGCCTCCAAGGGTCAATGACTATAGAGTCTGTATAAACGATTGGGTTAAGCCAACCAGCGCACTTCTTCGAAACAAGTCAGAAAGGTGGAGTGTGCGGGAGGCGCCGGGACCTGCGACCGCGCGGTCTCTCTTGGGCGGTGGGCCCTGGTTCTCCCTGGCTGGGCGTGCAGGGGCCACATGGTTCCCGGGCCTGAGCATCTTCCGAGCCCCGGCAGAATCAAGCTAGTGACAGCGCTCCCTGGCCCGCGCACTGAGGGCCGCCGCCCAACCCTCCAGCCCTAGCTCGCGCCCACATCCCCTTCACAAAGCCAGGCTGCGACCCCACCGCCCCAATTCTTACCATAGTGAGGCCGGCGAAGCCCCAGCCACATCACCCTTCCGGGCCCAGGGCGGAAGAGGCGTGCACGCCCCGCCTGCCCTTCTCGCTCCCTCCCCGCGTCCGGTTGGGCCTGTCAGGGTACCTCCTCCCGAGCCGCGCGCCCCGGACACGAGGATAGGCTCCTCGCAACCGGAAAAGGCGGGAGCTAAAAGACGTCAGGCGCCCTTGCGGAAGTGGACGACACTCTCATTGGCTGCGGAACGTCTGTCCGCGGGAGCGGGCCTTTTGCAGGAGACCGGAAGTGGAGGAACTGAGAGGTAGGGTCCGGAAGCGTGAGCTGTGTATTTTAGTAATAGTAAATTAATGGTAGTAATAGTGCTTTGTCCTTGTTTTGTTTTTCTTTCTTACTTTCCTTTTTTTTTTTAGTTCCCTATTATTTCCCTTTAGAACTCCTCAGTGCATGATTTTTCCCGGCTCGGATCTCCCTCAATGTGTAAGCTCCTGGACCTTCCGTTTTTGCACTCTCGGGGGACGCCTGGGTTCCCTAAACTTAGGTGCAGGGTGTGCACCTGCTACACCCCTTTTCAGTTTCTCCCTTTGCACCTGAGGGATTCTCTAGAATGCAGAGCGCCTTTGAAGTGCCCTGTAATGGTTGTGGAAGTAGGAAGACACTTGAATCCGGAGGGTTTTGTTGAGTAGGCTGTTGGACACTTTTCTGACGCTGGCCTTCTCTCTCTCCCAATCCCTCGCTCTTTGTAAACTGTTTATGGGTTTCACCTGGGACCTGAAGCGTACTAGGCCCTTTTGGGTAAGGGATGAACTTTCTGTAGTAACAAATGGAAAGAAACTGCCGTTTCCTGAGTTGAATAGTTGCATAGGTAGTCTAGAGAAGTGGTCCATCAGCGAGAGGAATTACATGCCAACTTTCTCTTTTAATCAGTAGAATTATTTAGCTTCTTTCAGTTTTGATAATCCCATTAGCTGAGGGTTTATTTTCCACCCGATTTTGTCTTTGCATAATATAAATGGAGAAACAGGTGTTTTGACGTGTTCAGTTCGCATAGTTCTTGGGAACTCAATATAAGGTTTTTGAATTAAAGTGGTATTGCTTTTTTACCACTAGTCAGCCTCCCTCATCCCCCACCCCCTTTCACTTTGTATCTAGTGTTGATGATGTTAAGAGTTTCCTTTTGTATGATTTCCTTTTTTTTTTTTAATTCACTGATGGTCACACATACATTAAAAGGTAATGGTTTTACTTAACTGCTTGTTTTTTCTAATCCTCAGCTAGCCTCCGTAGTTTAAGATTAAGGCTCTTTGTGTTCTAGTGTTTGTTTTTGTCCTTCTTCTCCCCTCCCCCCTGTTTTTTTATATTCTTTCCCCGTGGCTCTTTATCTAAGACCCATTTTTGACCTTCATGTTATTTCTTTTACTTTAAGAACTGCTTTTCTTAACCTCTCTCCACTTCTAACCCCATTTATTCCTCTTCTGAACACAAATCCTCTAAGGATTTTATGTTCCAAATCCCAATTCTTTTTCTATTCTTTCTTAAGATCATTCCAGCATGGTTTTGCTCCCACCCTTCCCCAAAATCCTCTTCTTAGTGTCACCAGTAGTCTCCAGGTGTTGATTATTCCCAGTTTTTTTCCTGTTTGAGCTATCAGCAACCTTTGGTGCAGTTAATCACTTCCTTCTTCATGATGTATTTTCTTCATTTCCAGGACATCACACTCTCTTGGTTTTCCTTCTACCTCATTGGTTCCTTCTGTCTTCCTTCTGTTCTTCCTGATCTCTTATTGTTGAGTGTTCCAGGGCTCAATCTTTGCTTCTCTTCTTTTCCTCTTTACTTTTGATTATATCATCAAGTCTTAATGACTTTAAATAACCATCTGTATACTGAAGCCTCCCGAGTTCATATTCTTAGTTCCCTCTCTTTCTGAACGCCAGACGTTAATATTAGAGGAAACTGGGTGAGATGTATATGGGAACTCTGTGTTATCTTTGCAGCTTTCCTGTAAATTCAGTATTACTCCAAAATAAAAAGTTTATTAGAAGGGAATGTAACATTACTTCTTTGCTTAAAAACATTGTATGACTTCTCATTTGATTCACGATAAAAGCTGACATCCTGACATTGGCCTACGAAACTCTACATGATCTGGTTTCCTATTACCTCCTTGACTTCAGCCTTTGTGTGCTCTCCCCTCACTCTGTCCCAGCCACACTGGCTTCCTTGTTTCTTAAATACACTAAGCCCACTTCTGCCTTAGGGCCTTTGCATTGGCTGCTTTATCTGCTTGGAATGCTTTTTTCCAGACATCCACACAACTGATCTTTATGTATGTGCTCAAATATCACCTTTTCAATAAAGCCTACCTCAACCTCCTATTTAAAATTACAGCTTTGCAACTAACCCCCGTTCCCCCACTGGCCTCTGTACTCCCAGTTTTCTCTATCCTGTCTTATCTTCTCCTTTTACTCTAGCACTTATCACCTTACTATGTATTTTACATATTTATTATGTGGTTTTTCATTTTTGGTCTCCTATTAAAATACAAATTTTAAAAAGGAAAGAATTGTTATGTTTTGTTTCCTTATGCCACGTTCTAAAGCACTGTCTGATGCACAGAAGTGCATATGCTTTGGTTGAATGAATGAACTTGACTGGGTATCTGAATTTAGTCACCCTTGATTGGCAGTCATTGTGAAACATTGAATTGTTTATCGTGTCCAGGTATTATGCTTTTTCTTGCCTCCAAGCTTTTCATCATGCAGGGTCTGTTGCATGGAATGCCTTTTCTTATCTCTTTCCTTTTCACCTTTTAAGATTCATATCAGGTGTAGCTCAGGGAAGCCTTCCCTGAAATGTCAGTCTGGCTTAAGTGAACTCTTGAGAGGAGGTATCACCCTGCCTCTGCACTTTACAAGCTTGTAAAGTATTTTTGGGTGTTTTTATCTCACTTGAGAGGTGGGAATGTGTCTTAACTCATTCTGGGGATATCAAAGCCCTGTACATAGGAAGCAGTCAGTGAATGTTTTTAATGCATTAATAGCGTGACCAAAGTCACTCAGCTATGAAGCAGTAGAGTTTTGATCTCAAAAAACTGATGGTCTATTTGCTATACCTTGTTTTCTAGGAAAAGGTGGCTGTCCTTAAATTAATAGAAGGATAGTTTTTATACAGGTAGGAGGTAGTTAATGCATTTTATAGTCCAGGGCAATTTGTTCCTTGTCATTTGTGAAGCTGCCAGCGCTGATGAGAACATGAGTTGTGCTTTTTTTCCTAAGACATTGGCTGAAATAGATGAACAGAGGGTTATTATAGTCAGCAGTTTTTAATGTTGATGAGACGGGGCTCTTTTTGGAAGAACACCCTTGAGACTTTTGTTGCCTCAAAGGGGAAATCCATGCTGGAATTCCAAACTGCTCATGAGACATCCATGCTTTTGCTAGATGCCAGTACTGCTAGTGGTATTAAGTTAAACTTTTGGTTGTATGCCATTGGGAAATCCCAGGCTATTTTCAAGATGTTGTGAAGATTTTTCTCACAATGATATGGAAATTTGTTGTTAAGGTTGAGTTAAAGATAATTAGTTTGTTAACATAATTTCTGATACTTGGCACAAAAATTAGGTGAAGTAATTTTGTATTTAAAACAGTTTAATTGTAGATAATGAACCAGACCTTGAACTACCTTTCATGGTAAACATTCTGAATTTAAACTGTCCCCTGAATATTATCATCATTGTTGTAGTCCGTAAACCAATCTTTTTGTAATGTTGTATAGCCTTTAGGACTAACAGAAAAGGAAATAATCTGGCTCTATAAATTCTGAAAAGGCCTCAGCAGTTTTCTGCCGCAGCAGTGGGGTTGAAAATGATGATTAGGCTTGGGATTAAGTAATCAAAAACGACTATTCCTAAATTTGTGCCTTGTTTCTTTGAACTTTACTAACCCTGTAAAAGTGTCCAAAATGTTGAAATAAGCCAGAAAGTCAATCTGGTCTTTGTGTGAGAGGATGCTGTTGAATAAAGAAAGACCTTGCTCAATTGGAACAGAAGTGGCTGCTAAGAAATAAGATGCAGCCATTGTTGAGGAGACTCATCAAAGTGTTGGCAGTATAAATATTGACATGCTGAGATATGTCAATATTTACCATGGAATTTGGAAGTTGCCAAGTTCCTGTTTAAGAAATGTGACACTAGCATTGAACACAGTATATCAATAAATAAGGAACATGTCCAATGAACAGCTGCTCAGAGAAAGTAGGATAACATCTGTCTAAACTTTGGAGCACTTAAAGTTGAATTTAAAAAATTTATTGACAGTTCTTTGTTAATTTGTAGGTAGATGCTTGTATAACATAGTATACTAATACAGTTCCATTTGTGGGCTTAACTTATGTGTTTTTAAAAAATGACAGCATGGTTGCAATTTATAATTTTGTAAATTACTTGTGCAATGATAACTCATCTATAAATTGAATAAAAAACTCTTGCCTTAATCCTGTGTTTAGGAACCAACCTCATTTTACATATTATTCTTACAAAAATTGGCTCACCTCAAGACTCAGAAATTACTTTTGGGAACCAAAAGTTTATGCTCTGAGAATTTTGCAATAGAGAAAACAAAATAAGTTTCTGAAGTTTAAATGTGGTAAGATTTGTTCTGATTATTTGACAGCTATATATCTCGGAAGAAAATGAGTGGATTAAAGAGCAAGTAAAGTTGGTATGTTTGGTTGAATATCACAGATTACCACTTTTAATTCCCATAAGAATATCACTGTAATAGAGCATTTGATGCAAAGTAAAGACACATTTGAAGCTTTTTTATCAAGTCGTTGGAACCATACAAACAGTCTTACATCTGTTTTGCAGACGTCTAGAAGAAGGTTAAATTGAGCATTGTTTGAATGATATTCCTAAAACAGTCCTAGAAGAGCATGAACCATGAGTATCAGGACTAGTTCTCTCATTGCTTTTCTAATAACAGAGACTGATGGCTTTTATATAGTAATCTAGTTGTTTAACCACGTCACACTCTTAAGTTTATATTGTAAAGAATGGATGCAAAGTATAGTTGAGGTCATGTTTGGCCAGGAGCTACATTTATTGCTATAAATATTTTATAAACAAATTTTCAAATATGAAAAATTGTATTAGAGGTTCATAAAAGGCTTTTAATGTATTTTTTTAGTATATTAAGGATGGAAGGGAAAGAAACAATTTTAAAATTTAAATTGATTGGAGTCCTTTTTTAGAGCACATTTGCCAATATTTTGAGGTAAGCTGTTGAGTTTTAAGGAGAAACATTA